TCAATACAGTAACACAATCGCACTCAGCCCTGTGAAAATGCACCTCCTTGTGTCACAACCCTCAGATATCCTGCCTTCTGAACTACAACGCAGTGTCTGAACAATGTAACATGATCATTGCTTGCTGTAAGCAATGCATGATAGGATATGTAGTCTTGAGAAATGGAGACTGCATCACATCAAGCAGCAGGGAAAGAGATGCAAGGTGCAATGGGAATCCAGAAAGTTGATGAAAGTGATGGGCAGACAGAAGGCAGCACTCACTACATAAAAGGATTTTTTTTCGGGGGGCGCTAGCGAGCAGCCGAGGAGCATGGACGCCTGCTAGATAGGCTCCGCACCACCCGGGCGTTTGATTGTTAAAACACCGATCACCTCACTTCCCATCCACTCCCCACCTTACCGCCTGACTCCTTGGACCTTCTGACTCCATCATGGGGAAGAATCCACCGCCGACCCGCTCCCAGCAGAAGACGCCGGGGCCCACAAAATCGCAGCCTGATCCCAAGATGGCGGCCGCTCCACCCTCGCGGGCCGGTCTCTCACCAGAGCTGCTGGAATCAGCAAATGACTCATCAAATGATGGCTTCTCCCCCAAGCCTCCAGAATCACATCAGGGGACCGAGGTCAGGGACGCAGCCCTCCTGGACAAGTTTAAGATCCTCCTGCAGAGAGAACTGAAGGCTGCAACAGACAAACTGGCAACACACCTATCCAGAGACATCAGGGAGCTGGGCACCAGGATCCACGACATTGAATATAAGGTAGATGACATTGTCTATTCTACAAAACGAAGGAGGCGATCACTCAGGCTGCGTGGAAACAACGCACCCTATGCTTCCAGGACTTTGAATACCAGATATACGCTGACCTACTGAAACGGAAGGCCTTGAGACCGTTCCTCATCACCTTGCAGCGCCACGCCATCAACTATAAATGGGGGTTCCCATTGAAGGCTACTTTCACCCTCGAGGGTAAGACGTACTCCTTCGCTTCCCCCGAGGAAGCGGGGCCACTCCTGGAACAGCTACACTTGTCGCCCTTAACGGTTTCTGAAGCGGCCCCCCCACGGGCCTCATCCCCCCCCCGAAGGATAGGCGCCTGGCCCCTCTGTGGGAACGCAGACCCCGCGACAGCCGAGACACTCCAGGGAAGCAGCGACCCCCAACCACGGCCTCGCCTGGATGATGGAGACTGATTCCCCCATACAGCAACTCGCGCACGAGTCATCTATGGCTGTTATGCCTTGCCAATTAGCCCGGTTGGAGAGCTGTTATCCTCCTGTTTCCGAGACTCTCCCGCCTACGACTTTGATTACACCCGTCTGGACCTCGTTACCTGCGGTCCGTAAGTTGTGATGTTCCTACCCACAGTTATGGGGTTACCCCCCCTCATAGACTGCCCCGATGTCCCTCGATGACACGGTCGAGGTTACCGGTATTTCCCCGAACGTTATGCCTGTTATTATGTTGTCTATTGGCCCAGTGCCCCATCTACCCATGTCGGGACCCCGTCCCACCTCAGATGCCCGACCCGTCACGACCCCCATGCCTGTGGTTGGAGGGCATGGACGGCTCTGGGGCTTGTTACCTGGTGCTCGGTGCCGACCTGTTACATGGCACTTCTTTTTAGCCTCTTTTGCAGACTTCATTTACCTATGCCAATGTTGGCGCAGTTTATTTTTGCAATGTGATGTTACTGGTTTATTTCTGGGCCTCCGTGCCACCTTGTGAGCCACACGCTGCTCCTCACTTCCATTTCGCTGCTGCCCACCCCATGGAGGTGTGACAGCGGTGATTAACCTGGGAGTGGGGATCGGGGTCGGCCTCAAGTCCACCCGGTTGACTTTGTGACACTGAATGCCTTGGTAGGAACGTGTATCCTAGCTATTCTATGACTGCTTTTTGAAATGCTTCCGCGCATTTCTCCCTATTGCTCAGCTCTGACGCTGATGTGGAACGCAACCATTTTCTGTTTCCTACACCCATTCTTTCTCTCTCCCACCTCTCTCTCTCCCCCCCACCGGCACTGGGGTTTGTCTGGAAGACCCCTTGCAGCTCCCTCAGCTTTACAGGTGCTGCCATCATGCTCGTTCTTCCCGCACTATCGTATAAATGACTAGCAGACCCTTCAAAATCATTTCTCACAATGTGCAGGGGCTCAACTCCCCCCGCAAACGCAGGCTTGCTTTCAACTACTATTCCTCCCACCAGGCCAACATACTGTGCCTACAAGAAACAAAATTCTCTACATCATCACACCCGACTTACTTCCATAAAAATTATCCCCAGGTCTTTCAGGCCATGTTCAGCGAAAAAAAAAAAGAGGGGTCCTCATCGCCTTCCACAAAAAACCCCCATTCGTGTGCTCCCATGAGATAGCGGACCCCACTGGTAGATACTTGTTGTTAAATGGCACAATATTTGATGTGGAGGTGACCCTGCTCACATACTATGCTCCCAACACACACCAAACTCGCTTCTTCTCCCACATACTGACAGCCGACAAACACAGAAAGGGTACCCTAATAGTGGCTGGAGACTCCAACCTGGTCCTTGACCCTAAATTGGACAAGTCGGGACCGACCACATCTTCTCTTCCCCCCCCCAGGCCCACTCCAACCCTTTCCCCCCTCTTTCACACACTCTTACAGGACCGTAACCTCATTGACGTCTGGAGGGACCGCCACCCAACCACCAGAGACTATACATTTTACTCCCACCCCCATGCCAGCTCCTCTCGTATAGACCATATTTTTGTAATGCCCAATTTTCTCCCCTTTGTCCTGGATGCCCGCATCCTCTCTGCCTCCTGGTCGGACCACTCCCCTGTATCCCTCACCTGTAAATCCTTTATTCCCTGCCTCCTCTCAATTTAGTTGGAGACTGAATGACTCCCTTCTCTCTTTTGTCGATTCCGCCCAGCATGTACAACTGTGCATTTCCCCCTATTTTGCGGAAAACGCAAAATCAGTCGCTTCCCCGATCACTATCTGGGAAGCCCACAAAGCAACCATGCGTGGAGAGCTCATCAGTCTGGCCTCCCGTCAAAAGAGAGAACGCACCAAAAGGGTGTCGGACCTTTCATCAACGCTGGAGGGGCTCGAGTCTGACTGGAGCCTGGCCCCCTCAATTCCCCGAAAAAAGATCGATTCAGTTCGGCTGGAACTAAACCTCCTACTGAACGACTCGGCGGAAAAACAGCTCCGCTGGGCCAAACGCACATTTTACGCGTGTGCTAACAAACCAGGCCCTCTATTGGCCAACATTCTCAATTCTAAACCGAAGGCCAGGACCCCGGTCAGACTTCGACTCCCCAATGGCGCCACTACGACAAACCCATCCACCATCCTCCAACGCTTCTCCTCCATCCTTTCTAAATTATATGGCAGGCCCTCCGCCTTCCAAGCCCGCCAGGCCGACGCACTGTTCAATGGGGTAGTTTTGCCTTCACTCACGGAGCACATGAGCACCCTTATGGGGGCCACTTCAACACTCACTCGGTCTTCCACTCGGGCAGGCCTAACGGTATTTGAGCACACCCGTAAACGCAACCCTTACAGCTCTAAACTTGTCTCGCAGATATATACCCAAGTCAACACATTGACCTCCCCTAATAGACACTCCTACGTAGGAAAATGGGAACGGGACCTAGGGGTATCGCAACCTCTGGAGAGTTGGCAGCAGATCTGGACCTCAATGGCCACCTGCTCCATCAATATCTCTTCCATGGAAACGGCCTTTAAGTCCCTCACACGGTGGTATCTGGTGCCGTCCAGATTAGCCCACCTTCACCCTTCGCACTCGCCAACATGCTTCAGAGGCTGCTCGTCTCTGGGTGACGTCCTCCACACGTGGTGGTCTTGCCCCATGATTGCCAGATTTTGGTTGAGAGTTTTCCGTTTGCTGAACAGCCTATTCTCGGTAAAGCTTTACAAGGACCCATGGATGGCCTTGTTACACCTCAAATCTCCACTCCTTACGAAACCCCAACACCGTCTAGCCACGCATGTCCTACTGGCAGCTAAACAAACTATTGCCGCTGCATGGAAAAAACAATTTGTATCCTTTGGCGAAGTTACACGGTGGATGGACTTTTTCTGCCTCAACGAGAAACTGACCAGCATCCTCTCGGATACCAATAAGTCTTTCGCGAAGATCTGGCAACCCTGGTTAGACTATACTCACCCCTCCCTGGCCCCAGCTAGCCTAACAGCCCTCTAGGCAACCGAAATAAAAGAGCTCATTCCGGTCAGACCCAGTGCCCCCTTCCCACTCCCCCTCCCCCCCCCTTTTTTCTTCTTTGCCCCTTGCCACCTGGCACACTGCCTTCCGGATTCCCTTATTCGGACAACCCTCTTTCAGCGGGATCTACTCCCGTCTTGAAGAACCCAGAGCACTTATGACCTCAATTGAGACCCACTTGACAACAGCCAATGTCTCCGCGTTCCTGAGATACCTGTACTTATGTATTTTTTACTGTATTATGTACCCTACCTAATGTCAAAACTCAATAAAAACTTTGAAACGAAGAGGAATTTTTTTTCACGCAAGCTTTGATTGTATTATGAAAAACAATTCTAGTATGTATTCCTATTACAATGCTGATGTTGTTCATCTTTTTGCTGCTCTGTGTCTACTCCATATGAAGCTGAGTACGGGCTGATTTCATGGACTGTTATTGGAATTTATACCATTTCTCTCTCCCTATTCTTTGCAAACATTTATTTCAGGGTTTCAAATCAATAAGGTTCAAAGAAAAAAGTCCAATAGAATTGACATATGTATAACAACCTATAATTCTGTCGACCCTACCAGTTTCTTCCAAAGCTCCGTCTGGTATGGCACTGTAATTCAGTTAATTTAGATTCTATTATTCTATAATGGACGTAAAAGGTAGATTAGCCATACTTGTGTAATAGTCAATGCAGTGTACAATATGATGCTGAATGAGCTTTGATTGCAAAGTATCAATGTTCTGTTCCCCTCTTGTACTTTCAGTATTCTGGGCACCCTGGCTGCCGGTTACCTGACAGTGGTAATCATTGTGAAGTATTACCTAATGGAGCACACTGTATTCAGGAAACATGAATATACCTCAAAGTAAGTATGGCAGAAGTATGCATTCAGATTTCCCTTGTCTTGGGGGAATCAGAATTTGGACTTTGGATATAGGAGAAAAGAAACTGGCAGGGCAAACTCTGCAATAAACAGAGAGCAAAACTGTGAAAAGATCCCCAGTCCAATAGCCCAGAGTTGAAAATAACCGTTCATACTGTTGTCCAACAAGACCACTATCACATTAGCACTCCCACTTCAGCAGGGTTACAACAAATCAGAAGACATAAAACATTAGTTATTGGTATCTGAAAAATGTGTAGTAATGGGTTGTATCAGAAGGATCACATACAATTAGTCTTTGATACTGGCATAAGCAAAAAGAAGGTCGTATATAGCATAACCAAACTGATTATTTATTTAAATTGATTATGAATTCATATAAAATTGAATTAGGAATAAAAATAATAATAAACTAATAAGAGTACATACTCAAGTAATGACTATTAATCCTAAAACAGTTCAAATACAATGCACAAGACTTCATCTAGACATAAAGACAGTTGTACTTCAAAGTTAAAAGAAATGCTGGGTTATTATTATTATTATTATTATTATTATAATACAGGATTTATTTAGCGCCAACAGTTTGCACAGCGCTTTACCAAATGGAGGGAGACAGTACAGTTACAATACAATTTCAGTACAGAAGGGTTAGGGGGCCCTGCTTATGAGCATTTACAATCTAGTAGATTTAAATATGAAATGATCAGAATAGCTGGGATTAATCCTGGGCAACTGTTCTAGCTAACAGTTATGCAAAAAACAGTACACATATTGTATTGTGGCTAAATTGGCTTGTAGACATATGGAACTGCTGAAACTATGGCTATTGTAGCTATGTAAATAAAATGGTTGGATCTGATGCATTTATATATAAAACACAGAGATGGTAACATTTCTGCTGAATTGGCCAAAATTCGAGCTGTGAGTAGCCCTGTCAATAGGGTGGAAAATTATCAGCCAAACAATGATTGCATCCTATCAGATAGTCACTGCTCAGGTATTCAAGCAGCTTCTGGTGCATACAATAACTGGCAGTAGCGATGAGTGATTGTCTGCATTGCTAACCTTACACATTAAAGGAGAACTATGGGGTCAGTGTTTTTCCCCATAGTTCTCCTTAGGGTAACGGGAGGACACAAACTAGCGTCCTCCCGTTACCCTAAGCTCAGTATACCGCGAGCTACAGCTCGCGGTATACTGAGACGCCGCAGCGGATCCCGGCGTAAATGACGGGATCCGCGCAGCTGCGTGAGTGACAGCTGGCTCTGCCTATCTAGAGGCAGAGCCAGCTGTACCCGTCCCCTCCCCCGTCCGTTCCGCCAGTCAGCGCTGGCAGATGGGAGTGGGGAGAGGGGAATCCAGCCCCTCCCCCTGTCACGGCAGAGAGCAGTGACAGGATCGAGAGGTGAGCGAACCTGGTATGTGTTCGCTCAGCTCCCGATCTACTGAGCCGACCTGTGGCAGTCTCATTGTCACAGGTCGGCTAGAACTATGAGGTGAGTGGAAATCACTCATCTCATAGTTCTCCTTTAAGGATATATTCACACCATGTCTGGACCAGATCTGGAAGAGATCTGTAAACGCAGCGCAGTAAATTTGTACCGTGATTTTACTGCTGCATTCTGGTTCTTTTTTCTGCATAAATTGGGCTTTCAGGTGCAGACCAGTGTATTTAGTGTGTTTTTGGCTCATTTGCATGTTCCGGACGAGAAAAAAATGACATGCATTATTTTTTCGATCTGAAACAGAATGCATTGCAAAGGTGTGAACTGTAGCCCAGAATTCACATAGGGATACATTGGGCAGGGCCCTCTTTAACGCAGGGCAAAAGGGGCAGCTGCCCCCGGGCCACATAAGTTACAGGGGCCCACAGCAGCTGTCCCTTTTTATCTAGAGCGGAAGGCAGTAGCAGTGACAACGCTGGTAGCAGGGGCAGACTGGGCTGGGGGACTGCCGGCATGTTGATAGCCACGACCGGCGCTAGCTTAGCCTGAGGGGGCTATAATTGGCAGGTGATAGAGAAGAGCAACTGAGCAGCCAGAACAGCGGATGAGGAAGTTTCTGGTACGTGCTGGGAGTGGCCGGACCTGTGCTCTTCTCTGCCTGTTGTCTGCAGCTCCAAAGAGCGGAGCGCCTGGCTGGCAGAGGAGGATGATTTTGCCGGGAATGCAAAGGGGAGCCCGGCTTGGGGGGAGGGGAGGAAGATACTGGTTGTCCTGTTAAGTGTATTGTTTTGCAGAGTCCTGTTTATTACATTACAGAGTCCCGAGTCCGTTGCGTTGCAGAGTCCTGAGTCCATTGCATTATTACATTGAACCATTATTTATTTATAT